CCTTTGCAAAGGCCTTGGCGTGTGCAGGAACGCAAGAGCGGAGAGGGTGACCATACAGGATCTGGGCAAGGGAGCGCCCTGTGTGGGTGGGAGTATTACGTAACTCCAGGAGTCCTTTGTCAAACGCCTCACAGTCTATGTTGCCTGAAGGGGCCACCTTGAGGATAAGGTGCTTGACTGTCTTGACCGCAGCCTCAGCATGGCCGTTTGACTGTGGGTAGTGGGGTGTTGACACGATGTGGCGGACTCCCCAACGCTCCAGGAATCCTGTGAAGTCCCGGCTGGTGAACTGTGGCCCACCGTCCGTCCGCAGACGTACGGGGACGCCCAGGTCACGAAAGAGGTGCCGGAAGTGGCGAATGGTGGCCGCGGACGTCGTGTCCGAGCCACAGATTACCACCACAGGCCAGCCAGAGAGTCGGTCGGCGACAACCAGGAAATGTTTCCCAGCTGTGCTGAAGAAATCAGCCGACACGGACTCGAAGGGCCTGGTGGGTTCGTCGTCGCACAAGAGGGGCTCCTGCTGTTGACTGGGCTGCATGATCTGGCACGGCTCACAGACACTGACCGTATTGACGATATCCGCGTCAATGCCGGGCCAGTACACAGCCTGCCTTGCGCGGCGCTTGGTGGCTTCTGCTCCACGATGGCTGTCGTGTAAGCGGGCCAGAACGTGACGATGGAGAGCTGCAGGGACGACCACACGGGCACCGTACAGGACGAGGTCCCCATCTGCGTAGAGGTCCTCACGTATCTTCCAATACGGGCGTAGGGTGTTGTGGAGGTCAAAACGGTCGCGAGGGAACCCAGTCCTCACACTCTCCAAGAGCTGAGTGTAGGAGGGGTCGTCGCGTGCCGCGGTCCGTAGTTCCTCAAGGGCCAGATCGCTGTCGGGTGGCGACACTGAGGCCTGGGTGCTGGCGAGGGACTGTACAGCCTGCAAGGTGACGATGTTGCTGACGGAGAAACCGGCCTCGGTGCTGGGCATCTCGTCTTCAGGTGTAGGGCGGCTGACTGGGGAGCGGGAGAGGGCATCCGGGATGCACAACTCCTTACCTGCGCACCAAGCCGCGGTGAAGACGAAGACCAAAATCTTCTCCTTCAGGCGCTGGAGGCGGGGATTCTCGATGGCGTCCAGCGAATAGTGGTTAAGAATGGGGACCAAGGGCCTGTGGTCTGTGATGAGGTCGAAGTGCTGTAGGCCAATCAAGTAGAACTTGCACTTCGATAAGGCCCATACCACTGCCAGCAGCTCCAGCTCGATGGTAGCATAGCGAGACTCAGCATCGGTGAGGAAGCGAGAGCCACACTGTACGAGCCGGTACTTTCCTCCACCGTGATCCTGGAGAAGGGCGTAACCAACCCCGTACAGGGGCGAGGCTTCTGTCTGGAGGACGGTGGGGAGCGCTGGGTCGAAAGTAGCGAGGATAGGTGGACTTGACAGGGCCTCCTTCACCTTATGAAAGGCGAGGTCGTGGTGAGGGGTCCACGTGAACGTCCTCTTGGGGCTCATCAGGGGGCGGAGAGGCCCGGCAGCAGCGGAGACGTCAGGGGAAAATTCTGCCAGCTGGTTCACCAGGCCCATGAAAGACCTGAGATCCGTAAGGTTGGCAGGTTTCGCAAAGTCCGCTATGGCGCGAACTTTCTCCGGGTCCGCAGCAATGCCATCCCTTGAGAGTCGGTAGCCGCAGAAAGACACTGCAGGTGCGGCCAAGACGAACTTCTCGGCATTCAGAGTGATGCCGTGCATCCTACTCACTGCACCATGAAGGTTACTAGTGTGCCCTGAAGAATGCAGTGATGGCTAGGGAAACACTGTGAAACACTGAAGTCCGTTTATTATGGATGAGAGAAATACAAATGGTGACTCGCGTGTGCCATGCACGGCTCACACAGTCAGACTGAGGCGCCTTGCCATATGGCAGCCTCTGGGCAATGTTGCCACATAACACGTGCAGTGTTGCCACGTGATTATATATATAAATGCTACTCGGCACAGTAGCTTATGTACAGGGTTGCTACTTGGCACAGTAGCTTATGTACAGGGTTGCTACTCGGCACAGTAGCTTAGATACATAACCTACAATTTTAGCGTGAAATTTATCGAAAATCTAACGTACAGCTGCATTAGTGCATTACAATTAAATAGTGAACATTGCGTTCTGACTTCATTCTTTAACAACCCAACTAACAATATTTTTTTTCTGTTTCAGATTCTGATGCATTTATAAGTTGATAATATTTGCGATGGCTGCTTGTGTCAGGACGAGGAACCAAAAATCCAGCCATCTCAGATACGGTGTTTTAATCAGGCAAATCAGTGAAAAGAACCAAAGAACTTACACAAACAAAGACACGTTATGGATACATCAAAAGCCATTTGGCACAAGCAATAATTTTCAGCTAACGCCTAGTTCAGCTCCATTGCACAAGTCAGAAGAAGATTAGTGAGACCACAGCTGTTGGGAAAAGGGCAGAGATATTCTTGGGAGAGAGGAAAAATCAAAGTACACAGCTGGCCATGAACTGGACTGTCACGACATAATTACTGTATGCCCAATTTGCCTCTGTCCCGAGTTTGGAGGTGATCGTGATCAAATCCGAGGCCCATCTCCCAGATGGTAAGCGTGAACTAAATGTAGATCGAACCGGCATTTGTCAAGCACAGAGAGAGAAGAATGGCAGTATAGCCTCGCCATTTCTAGCCAAGATATTCGGAGTCCAAGAGGACAGGAGGCTGCCACAGAGAGATATGGTAAGAGGAGAAGACATGAGAAAGAGACTTGAAGGCCCAGGGTGCAAGGCTGATGATTGGAGTCAAGCTGATTCAGAGTTGGCGACTTCCCCATGGCTGGGATCTGAGGCGACCAGAGAATGGTGACTTTGTCTCAATCTCCAGAAAATAATGATCCCAAACCTTCCAGGCAAGATTCAAAATAGAAAGATATCCTGAGATAGCTCTTGGCCAAAGCATGCGACAAATGCCACTGGTCTCAGAGAAACTGCAGAGATAGCAACAGCTGCCTGGGTTGACGGTGGTTTGATAACACCTGATGATGTTCACCTGGTGATAGATCATAACAAAGTAAGGAGAGCTCAGGAGAAACTTGTCAGTAACCTAGAAGAGGAGTTTGATAAAGGGATAAGAGAAAATGGAATCAATTGTTTGTTCTTTGATGGGAGAAGGGATGACACTAAAGTGTTCATGAAAGTTGGAGATTCTGACAAGTTGTTCCCTGCTATGGTGAAGGAGGAACACTACTCCTGCAGCATTGAACCAGGAGGGAAGTATTTGTGGCATTTCACTCCAGAGAAAGATGACATCAGGAAACCAGCTGAGATAGTGGTAGATACACGTGAACCCAGTCTGTATAGGAGAATGCAGACCAGACCCTGGTGCTGGCTGGAGGGAGCAGCACCATCGAACACAGGTGGCAAGGGGGTCATACAGAGATGGTTTGAAGATTGGGAGGAAGCTGGTCTGGATTGTTTGTGACCTCCATACCCAAATGAGTTGCCACTCAGACATCTGATCCAGGAGCTGGATGGCAAGACTCTTCAAACAACAGATGGTCTCGTCCTCTTGGCAAGATGCTGGACTCTGCCACTGAGTTAGAAATAAATCCGAGCTTTGAAAAAATCACAGTTGGCCCTCCACTCGTTGAGCTTGCACATACTGTCATTGACGACCTGAGTACTGACCAGTACTATGGTTACATGATTTGCAGTGCCATCAAAATTGGGGTCATGCCTTGATAGACTTGCTTACCTGCAGATAGGTCCAGTCTCACATTCTAGGTGGCTCACAACGGCTCTCAGGTTCTGCAGAATTTGGGTCGCTCATCATAAACTGAAAGGAAACCAGCTTCACAACCTGAGACTTATTGTCCAATTCATCGTGAGTGTCTACTTGCCAAATTGGTTCAACACCAAGGTCAAGTCATCGTTCTCCGAAGGTCCGAGGCATGTTCTCTTCCAGCCTGAGCCCTGAGGAGCCGCTGGCGAAGGTTGTTCAGATTGTGGAGCAGACTGTGTAGCAGGACCTTCTCGGCGGCGTTCCACTTCCATGTTAGTTCTGCAGACAATGCTCTGCAGTAAGGATGAGGAGGAGAGAAGAGTTACAGCCAAAAAAAAAAAAGATCTGGATACACATCATGCAGAGACCCGGCAGACGAATCAGTTGGGTGTGACGATTCTCAGGGGTCAGCCGACTCCTGCTTGACCCAGTGCCAAGCACTCCTCACTGATCTCATAGATCTGATAACATCCACAGGCTGGCGGTGGTGCCCTTCACCTGCAGCCTCACCAATGTTCAAGTCAGAGCTTTCCTGGACAACCCCATGCATGTCCCTGCCTGGCCCTCGCACACCCAGAGTATTGAGCGTTGTGTACAGCAAGTGAGCGAGGCCAGCAGTCACATGTACAGCCAGGAGAGGAGGGAAGGCTACATCCGAGCTCAGGTGGTCAGCAGGGAGGTGATGAGTAGAAACAGAAGCAAGAAAGACATGTTCTCTATGGTGTGCAGCAACACCGGGTCGTAGTAGTAAAACCGGTTTTTGTATTTGATGATTTTGTTTTCTAAAGGACTATTAAATTTAATAAATGAGTCAAGATCATTCGTTTCACTATTCTGGATCATTTTCATCCTAATAAATTAACCTGATACATTTACTTTACTTTAAATAAGCTATTTAGTGGTGTTGTTAAAAGGGTGGGAATACTGAATTTTCCTAAGATTTCAAGTTAAAATTTACCTAGCAAAAAATGAAAACTTTTCAAATCTGAAGATATCACATGATTCTGCACATGGAACTACATCATTAATACCATGGGCCGATTTTTCAAACTCAAAAAAAAAAAAAAATCGCCTCCGTATGACACACCCTATTATGCCAGCCTTACACTTCAGAGACATACGCCTTCCTACCTTCATAGGGAAAAGCCGTCGCGAGTATTGTAACTTTATGCGTTGCGTCAATGATGCTGTAGGTAAGATCCAGATGTCTGACCCTGAGAAGATGCACATCCTCCTGCAGGCTTGTTCTGAAGAAATTCGAGACCACCTTTACTCATATAGTACTGTAGAAAACGGCTTTCAACGGGCGCTAAAAGCTTTGCGGATACGATTTGGTGGAGAAGATGCCTTTATTCGTGAACAGATTCAGGACCTGATGTTGACCTCATCAGTGCGTACTAATGACAGAGCGGGACTTCAATGCCTAGCAGACAGGTTGATTGTATGTACAGTATATGTAACTTTGAGCCCCGCCGTGCACTGTGGCAAGTTGACAATCTGTTGGGGAAAGAGTTGCTGGTTGAGAAGTTACCCAGTCACTTGAGCGAGAAATACCGAAGCAAAGTGGAGGAGTTTGAAGCTCAAGGGGAAAAGGAACCAGGGTTAGAACATCTATGGGGATTCATACAGAAGGCCGCTGATGCTGGTAATGCTAGAGAGGCTTACACAGAAACATGGGGAGCCAGAGATAGACGATATGCCGGCAATAATGCTAGCAGGCGTGCTGTAGGGCTGGCTGTCACGGGCGCAGAGCGCAAGGCTTGTTCACTCTGCTCAGATGATCATATCTTAAATCGATGCCACAAGTTTCGTACTATGGCAGTATTTGAGAGAACCCGAACTGTACAACGATTACGGTACTGCTTCCTGTGTCTCAGAAAGGGACACCAGGTCAATGCGTGTCCGATGGGATACTCACCGTGTGACATTGATGGATGTTCAGAGTTACATTCGAGATGGTTACATCCTTCTCCCAAGTCCATGCAGAGGGAAAGGTGTGGAAATAGACGCCAGAGCCAAGAAACAGATAAGAGTAAGTGTCGTGACCGTGATGAACGGACTAGGGACACCTGTGACTACTGAATCAAGAGGAACCACGGCATCAAGAGAGAATGGGTCGGAACCTAGACAACAAGATGACTGGCAAGAACGGCGTGACAAGAGGTCATGAAGATGGAGACCGACGTGGGAAACCATACTGGGAGTCTGGAGAGTAGGGAGTGACAGTTTGGCAAAAGTTTTCAAAATCTAATTGCTTGGGTTGGATTATTTGTCTATCGGCCACGCTAATTCCGAATATGTTTGAGTTTTTTACATCATTGCATTAGAAGGTTTGTGGATACTTTTGGGTTTGGCATGAAAAACGCGAAAAAACTGTAAATAATAAAGGGACTGGCAATGTGGCACAACCTGTTAAAATCAAGTTATTGAATTGGATTATTCGACTACTGTGTACACTGGTTCATAATATGCTATTGTTTTACAACTCAATGCGCTACAAATTATGCCGATATTTTTGCTGCAAGTCACCACATACGTATATTTCGAAAACCAGGGCCCAATATTACCAACGGCGTGGATAGATTCCGTGGAATGACTTCAGGACATTCCCGCTCATGGAACATTACCAAACTCCGTATATGTGCCAATGGCAGGCCAATGGCAATATTTACAGAGTTTGTTGAGGCTCCCTGGACGGGAATGCCCTGAATTTATTCCACGGAATCTATTCACGCCGTTGGTGATATTCGTCCCAGGACTGATCAACGAATTCAGCCCAAGTAGCTTGACTTGGACAGTTAAGGACAAAATCTCAGTCCGTACTTTTGAATAAAATATTGTTCAATAGGTGGTGATATTGAAGTGCTGAAAGTTGTTTTTTCTGTGTTGTTTTGCAGTTAGTTCAAAGGGCCGCCACCAAGATGGGTCGTCCTAAGATTAGCAACACTCAGCTGCGCCAGGGTAACGATAAGGTGTTCGGGGTTCGGATGCCTCTGCCATCTAACAAGTTGGCTCTGAACAAGGAAGTTGGAAGTGCCCTGGCTTATGAAGCAGAAAACGAGAGGTTAAGGAGAAGAACAAATGCTTTTGATTATATGGATGCCACCAACAAGGTGACTTGAGAAGGTACTGGATGTGTATAGGAAGGCCACTGTCCCCACTATCTCTGAAATCAGGGTGAAAATGAGAGTCCACGACCTGTGGAGGATGCGGAGGGAGACGATGATGATGAAGGGAAATGGACAGAAACAGAAAAGGAAGAAAACGAAGAACGGGAAGCCGAAGATGAGGTTCGAGGATATAGCTGAGAAGTTGTTTGATGTGGCAGACGACAGCAAAGTGCACGAATGAGAGAAAAGCTTCCTGGCAGCCCAGAGGAAACCGGGAAGGGAGGGCTGCATTGATGGCGTTGACAAAATTGTGACTGCCAAGCTGAAAGAAGAGAGGGAGAAGGAAGCGAAGAGGGCAAAGAAAAGGGCTGAGGAAGAGAGGAAAACTGAGAAGATGAGGTCAAAGAGGAAGGAGGAGATGGAGAGGATGTCGTGTAAAGTGTCGGCAGTGGATGACAGTGCTCAGGAAGAAGATAGTGATTATAAGGATGTCAATGACAATGAGTTCAAGGCTATGGTCGACAGGAGAGCAAGATCAGAGAAAAGGAAAAGGGAGAAAGAAGCCGAGGACAGGATCGGAGAAACTGCTGACAGGTTCAAGGTATCCAATGATGCAGTGGCTCACATCGCAAACACCATCAGAGCTGCAGACAACATCATAACTGAAGGGGACAAGTCTAAAGTGACTAACTGGAAGAAAGTGGAGAGAGTCAGGAAGAGGTCACGAGAACAGAAAAAAGAAAAGTTCAGGGGATTCATGGTCAGAGGTCTCATGGTAGATGAGAGGATCAATGAGAACAAGATAGTGACTGGTGTAGGTGAGAAGAACCACAAGAGATTCGCCATGAAAAAGAGGGAAGACTGTGCAGTGATCGGCTTCCCTGGTGAGGAGTTCCTTGGTCACCTGGTCCCGGTGGGGGGAAAGGGGGTAGACCTGGCCACCAGCCTGCTGGCCTTCCTGGAGGAGCGCGGTATTGACACCACCGACCTCCTGGTTGTCCTTAGCGACGGTTGCAACAAACTGAGTGGCTATAATCACGGTTTCATCGCCGAGTTTGAAAGGCTGTTGGGACGGCCTCTCCTCCACATCCACTGCCTGATCCACAGTCTGGAGAAGCTCTTCGGCCATCTATTCAACCAGTACGCTGGCCCAACCACTGGTCCCGCCTCCTGGAGTGGTGAGGAGGCTCGGAAGCTGACCGGCAACGTGTGGGACCTTCCGGTGGTTGAATTCGAGGCCGTCACCAACACCTACCTCAGGTCTCTCCTGGATGCCATCCCCTCCGTCGTCTGGGAGGAGTTCAGCTGGGACACCCGGTATCTGTTGGAGATGGCCAAGACGGTGGAGTCCGGCCACATTGAGGAGAGATGGGCCAGGGCACGGGCCGGAGCTATGACCAACGCCAGATGGCAAAACACGGAGAGCAGGGAGCTGAGGGCCTACATGAGCACCACCTCCCCCAGCGAGTCACAGAGACGGATGACCTCCTTCATCATCCTTATCTACGTGCCCTCCTTCCTGGAGATCAGGCAGAGGAATCTGCTACTGGAGGGCCCACGCCACCTCCTCGCCATCATCAATCGGGTGAGGACGTACTGCACCCTGGAGGAAGTGGAGCTGCTTACTCCATACCTCCAGTTCAACGGCTACTTCGGCCAGCACGAGGTGGTGCTGGTCTCACTGCTGGCCTCCATGGACAAGAGTGAGAGGGAGTTGGCCCTAAACATCATCAAGCAGCTGAGGAAGAAGGAAAAAAGGCACAAGAGAAAGACAGTGAGGAAAGTGAGGAACCCTCAACTGAATCTGGCAGCCACCAAGCTGTCAGAGTTGGTTGATCTGCAGAAGGCCAGCTCCTCCCCTCCCATCCTGTTCCAGCACAGTGACCAGGAACTGGAGCAATTTCTGGAGGAACCGTACTGTGAGCCAGGTCTGCCCTGCACCACCACCGCAGTGGAAAGAGGAGTGAAGCTCACCACGGAGGCGGCAGACGTGGCCAGCTCTGCCTGGCAGCAGGACCAGGTCACCTGGAACAAGCTGGAGGCCAGGAAGAGAAACAAGCGGAGGGCTAAGAAAGAGGACTACCAGTGCTAGACTGTGGGGATACTGGGACTGAGGGGACACTGTGGGGACAGCCAATGTTAGTGTGCCAACTGTGCTAGTGTGCTGCTGATAAATTGAAGCATACATGCCAATAATAAAGAATGTCTACCATTATTCTTGTTTTTTTTTATGTCGAACCGAAAAGTATCCACAAACCTTCTAATGCACTGATGTTAAAGATTCAAACATATTCGGAACCAGCGTGGCCGATAGACAAATAATCCAACCCAAGCCACTTGATTTTGAAAACTTTTGCCAAACTGTCACTCCCTACTGGAGAGTCAACCAAGAGGGAGAAGGCAGGACTAAAGAAGAGCAGGGTGGCTCTTCCACTGTTGGAGATGGAGGTAAAGGGGCCGAACTAAACTCGCACGACAAGAACAAATGCGCTCCCGGACTCCGGCAGTTATCGGTCCTTCTGTACGAAAAGTTTACTGCAGCGATTGAAGGCGTATGGAAAGCCAGTGTCACTCTTTATTGACACTCTTACCCATGAAGAACAACGAAACTCATTGGAGATAGACGTGGAAGTCAAAGGCACGCAGGTGCGGTCTAAATGTATACTATTACTCCAAGGTGTACTGGTAATTGACCGCTTGCCCCCGTCACTGGGAGACTCAGTAGCGTCCACTATGGATGTAATGGATTGTAAACATCTTCGAGAAATCATATCACCTGTGTCCGATGTTCAAGATGTTGATCTACAAATAGGGCAGGACTGTCCAAGAGCCTTGATTCCCTTAGAGTGCCGGACAGGACGAGACGGAGCACCATTTGCAATGAGGACTCAACTCGGATGGACTGTAAATGGTCCAACGGCCCATGAAAATGTTACTACTCTTGCTGTCATGGGTTCACCACCGACTCTCCCTCCTGCTGAGACACGTTTAGCGGAACAAGTAAAGCGCTTTTGGGAAGTGGAGATGACCTTTCTAAAAGCTACAATTGATGCGCCAGTGTCGAGGGAGGACAAAAGAGTCGTCCAGCTCTGGTCATCGACAGGTGCGATGATAAATGGACACTCCCAGTTTCCCGTTCCATTCCGGCGAGAACCACCTAACCTACTTGGCAATAGAACACTTGTTGTCAGGTCTGAGAAAACGACTCTTAAGAGATGCAGAGCTGAAACTAAGATATGTTGTAGAAATTGAAAATTTGATCACCAAGGGCTTCGCGGAGAAGGTGCCAAAAGGGGAACTGACAGCAAATCCTGGAAGAACTTGGCATCTGCCTCATCATCCAGTACTAATTCCAAACAAACCAGAGAAGACTCGCATGGTTTTTGATTGTCCTGCAACATTTGCCAATGTGTCACTAAACAGCGAGGTACTTCAAGGACCAGACTTCAACAATAAATGCTTTGGAGTCCTCATAAGTTTTCGTCAGGAGCTTAATGCGCTGACGGCTGACATTGAAGCCATGTTTCATCAGGTCAAGGTGCACCCTGAACACAAGGATGCCCTAAGATTCCTCTGGTGAGAAAATGGAGACCTGTCGAGACCCCCAACTACCTACCGAATGACAATGCATATCTTTGGAGGGGTGTGGAGTCCATCTTGTGCTACTTATGCATTGCAGAGAACTTTCCAGGATTATGGTTCAGAATTCCCAGTAGCGAACACCAGAGCTAGGGAGAGCTTTTACGTGGACGACTTGCTTATGTCTGTAACTGATACTGAGGAAGCAATCTCCATGGCACACCAGCTGCAAGGACTCTTGCTAAGAGGGGGATTCAAGCATACAAAATGGATAAGTAATCACAAAAGGAGTACTCAGCACTATCCCCGTGGAAAGGCGGCACACCGGTATCAAGGAAGTGGACTTCACCTATGATAATTTGCCCACAGAGAGAGCCCTGGAAGTGATGTGGA